AGAGAGAGAGAGAGAGAGAGAGAGAGAGAGAGAGAGAGAGAGAAAATATAGATTAAATGAAAATACACGGGCTGGAGAGATGGCCCAGCTATTAAGAGCACTTGCTTCTTTTGGGGAGCTCGTCATTCAGTTCCAAATACCCACGTAGCAGCTAACAATCATCTGTAACTCAGGCCCCAGTAGATCAGACTCCCTTTTGGTCCCTTCAGGCACTGCACACAGTTGGTGCACAGACATACACGCTGGCAAACACTCACAAACATAAAATAAAAATAATTAAAAAAAATAACAAAATACGGTTAATGCAGGACCTCTGCCTGTCATTATGCAACAGAGGCTGGGCCCCATGCGTGTCTCTGGGCCGCGCGGGTGGCTCACTGCCCTTCTTTCTGCAGGAGAATGAGCGATTACATCTCTTCCATCATCGAACTGAGCGCTCTGGTGGTGAGACGTCAATACCGCCTGCATCACTACCTGGATTTCATCTACTACCTCACGGCCGACGGGCGGCGCTTCCGTCAGGCCTGCGACACCGTGCACAAGTTCACCACCGAAGTCATCCAGGAGCGGCGGCGGGCGCTGCGCCAGCAGGGTGCCGAGGCGTGGCTGAAGGCCAAGCAAGGCAAAACCTTGGACTTCATAGATGTGCTGCTGCTGGCCAAGGTAAGGCTGGGTGAAAGCGGGCTTCTGCCCCTAGAGCCTGGCATGGGAATTGCACCCACTGATGAAAAAAGATGCTCAAACTCTTGGGGATTACAGGAAGGAGCCAGGTGTAGGGGTACAATGTGGGTGGGTTCATTCAGATGTCACAACAGAGTACTTCGGTCTTTTTAATTTAAATGAGCCCCATTATAGTCTAGAGTGTGGTCTGTTCTGTGGAACATTTCTGTAAACTTAAACAGACACACACACACACACACACACACACACACACACACACGCTAGGGAGCTTTTATGGAGATCAGTAGACAACTTGTGGGAGCTGGTTTTCTCCTTCAACCATGTGGGTCTGGTTCCAGGGTTCAAACTCGGGGCCCACCAGGTTTGGTGTCCAAGTGCCTTTGCTTGCTGATCCATCTTTCCAGCTTCATCTGTTCATCCTCACCCCCTTCCTCTTCCTCTCCCTCAGCAATTCCCAGGTTGGCCTCAAACTCACAGTCTATAATCCTCCTTCTCAGCCTCCTTTGTGGTGAGATCAAAGGTATATGCCATGATGCCCAGCTATTCTGTTAGGTGGGCTTAAAGTATACAAGAAGATGATTATAGGTTCTGTGCAAACACTCTTAGTTTTAACCATGTGTCTATGCATGGGTTTGTGCGCACAAGTGCACATGCCCATGGCAGTCAGAAGAGGGCACTGGGTAGCCTGGAGTTTCAGGGGAGCTCCCTGACACAGGTGCTTGTAACTGAACTGGGCTCTTTAGAAGAGCAGCAAGTGCTTGTAAAACCACCGAACAAACTTCCAGTCAAAACACTCTTGTTTTTATTATCATTGGCGCTCCGAGAATTGAACCCAGGGCATAAAGAATACTATGCAAGTGCCCTGTCATTCAGCTACGGCTCATCCTTCTGTGGATTTGTGTGTATGTAAGTGTGTGGGTGTGAGTGCCTATACATGCACATTTGGATTCAGCAGCCAGCGTAGGAAGTGTGGTATCTTCCTCTATTGCTTTCTGCCTTGAGTCACGGTCTCTCATGGGATTGGAATCTTGACATTTCATCTAGTCTGGTTGTCCAGCCAGCAACAGAGATCTGCTTGTCTCTGTCCCCAATGCACACAAAGCTATGGCGTTTTTTAAAAATTATTTACTTATTTATTTTTTTAATAAAATGTGTGTTGGAGATCTAAACTCAGGTCTTAGTGTTTGTACAGCAAGTACTCTTACCCACTGAGCATCCCGCCAGCCTGCTGTTTTTACATTTATTTCACTCTTAAATATGTGTGCATGTGTATGTCTGAGTAAAAGTGCCCTTATGGTCCAGAAGAGGGTCAGACTCCTTGGAGCTGGAGTTACAGGCAGTCGTGAGCTGCCTGATGTGGATGCTGAGTGCTGGGTACCAAACCCAGATCGTCTACAAGAGCCGCAAGTGCTCTTAACTACTGAACTATTTCCCCAGTCGTTCTTGTTTGTTGTCTTTTTTTCCTTTTGAGGCAGTGTCTAGTTTAGCCAATACTGACCTCAAAGTCCTTGTATAGCTGAGGATGACTTTGAATTTCTGATCCTCCTGCCTCCATCTCCCTAGTGCTGGCGTCACAGGGGTGTGTGCCTAGCCTCTCGTGTGGAGTTTTTGATACAGTTTGATACAGCCATGGCTCTGCCACTCAGAGGGCATATGATTGAGATCACCATTCCCATCTCTTGTATCCTGGTGCTCGTAAGACCTGATGACAAACTTGTTGGCGATCCAGCAGGATAAATGGCTGCCAGGAGCTACCCAGTAAATGCGGGTGTGCAGAGATGATCGTGGCCCTTGTGTGGGTTAAGTCATCTTAGGTAACTTAGAACAGCTGGGTCTGGTGGCACATAATCCCAGAACTTGGAAGGTTGAAGCAGGAGGATTGTAAGTTTGAGACTACTTTGGGCTACATAACCTGTGAAGAAATGGAAAGGATCACAATGAAGAAAGAGGAGAGAGAAGAGGAGGAGGGCTGGCAAGGTGGCTAGGTGGGTAAAGAGGCTTGTCAGCAAGTCTGATGACCTGAGTTCGACCCCCAGAACTCACATGATGGAAGGAGAGAATCGACTCCTGAAAATTGTTCTCTGACCCCAGATAGTGTCTCCCAGGAGAGGCTTGAGAGGCAGCTTTGCCTAGGAAATGCACAGCCCTGACTCCATCTGCAACAACACACACACACACACACACACACACACACACACACACCAAATCACTTAGTGAAGTTGTATCTGTTGGTTTATGTAAATGGTGAAATTGCCTAATGCATTTCCCCTCCTCTTCTTTTTGCATTTATTATTCATTCATTCATTCATTCATTCATTCATTCATTCATTCATTCATTCATTTTGTGAGTCCATGAAGGTGTGTGAGCATGCATGTGCCACAGCATGAATGTGGAGGTCAGAAGCAAATTATGGGAGTTGATTCTTTCATACCACGTGGGTTCTGGGAATTGAACTCAGACTGTCAGGATGGGCAGGAGACACCTTTACATACTGATTCATCTTTCTATCCCCTTCATTCGGTTTTTGAACTGTAACATAATTGTCAAGTGATGCTTGTCTGAACTCCCTTTGCCATTTCTTCCCCTTTCATCTCTTTTGTAGTACATTGCATCCTTCCCTCTGCTAGGAGCATTTGTACCCAGTGTAGGTTAGGAGGGGGTGGATGGGAGGCCAGGCACAGCGGTGCGTGCACACCTGTAACTCCAGCCCTTGGGAGACTGAGATGAGTCTGGGCGGCATATGGAGTCTCTGAGAGAGTGGGGTAGAAGGGATAAGAATATGGCTCAGCCGGTGAAGACGCTTGCTGCAAAGACTGACGACCTGAGTTCAATCCCTGGGACCCACATGTTCAAAGAAGGGAAATGATCCTAGCAAGTTGTCCTGGTTCTCACATGTGCAGCATAGCATATGCATGAATGCATGCATGCACGCACACACAGACTAAATAAATAAATGTGTGCATACACTAAATAAATAAATGTAAAAAATAGAAGTGGGAAGAAAGAAAAGAAAAAGTCAAATGGGAAAATAGGTAGATTTGACTTTGGGGAACCTCTAGGATGTAGGAAGTGGGATAAAGTGGGCTCAGCATCCTCCACCGCGATTGCAGGATGAAGAGGGAAAGGAATTGTCTGATGAGGACATCCGAGCTGAGGCAGACACGTTCATGTTTGAAGGTAAGGATGCTGAGTGAGGCCGAGAAGAAGTGCCGCTGTCCTCCTGGTGTGGGGAACACCTCAGGGAACACTAACCTGCCTGGAGGTAGTAGCTCCACTACACCTGTCTGCCCATAGGTCACGACACAACATCTAGTGGGCTGTCGTGGGCGCTGTTCAACCTGGCGAAGTATCCCGAGTACCAGGAGAAGTGCCGGGAAGAGATCCAAGAAGTCATGAAGGGCCGGGAGCTCGAAGAGCTGGACTGGTCAGTTGGGAGGGTCGGGAGGACTGGAGGGAGATAACCGAGGCCAGGGTCTTGAGTGTGAGTCTCTTCGTTACCACGTTCTGATTATGTGGCCTTAGACAAGCCCCTTAAGCTTTCAGAATTCCAGTTCTTGGGACTGGTTGAGATGCCCACCCCTTCTTCAGCAGTTCTCAGAACCACTCCATCAGCAACTGTTGTGGTCCCACCACATGACAAACATCCCTCAAATCCAGTGGCCTGTAGCAAGCATTTAGTTATCGCTTTTACCCACACACGATTTTTTGTGTGTGTGACCACTGGGCTCAGTTGTGTGGAGAAGGGCTGCTTCCAAATCGTAGGCTGGGTTCAGGTCTCTTCCAGGTATCTCCTAACTCTCCTAGGATCCGGGGTTACTCTGGGGCATGTTCTTCTCAATGCGGATTCCAGAAGAGTAAAAAAAGTTCTGTGTGCACTGACACACTATGGAGGAGGCAAGTCATCAACAAGTGGGCAAGAAGGGCCCCCTGGCCCAAGAGTAATGCCTGCAGACACATCGCCCTCTGGGATACAATGTTTCAATTGGGAGGAAATGGCATTCCAGGGTGATCATGATGCAGAGACCAAGCGCAGAACAGAGAACAGGAAGACAGTCTTGAGATGTGAGCTGACTCTGAGCGATACAGAGAGCACAGCCCTGTAGCCAGGCATGGTGGCACACCTGCCATTCCGACTTTCAAAGGCTGAATCAGGAAGCATTCAAGGCCAGCCTTGTCTACATATTATGTTTGTGCCCAACCTGGGCTATATGAATCATTGTTTCCAAAAAAGCATCTCTGAGGGAGATGCCTCAGTTGGCAAAATGTTGCCTTTCAAACATGAAAGAAAACCCATGTTACAAAAAACAAAACAAAACAAAACAAAACACCAAGCTGGTGTCTTAGTCAGTGTTCTATTGCTATGAAGAGATGCCATGACCACAACAACTCTGGAGGCTGAGGCAGGAGGATTGCAGTAAGACTGAGACTAGCCTAGGCTACATAGCAAAACCTTGTCTCAAAACAACATACATGCACACACACACACACACACACACACACACACATTTACAAAATGAACTAATAGTTATAACTAGTCCATTTGGGGTTTCTGAGTACAATAAACTATTCTGAAATCAGCAATAAAACAAAGACAACGCAACAAATGAAACCAGAAAGGATGCACACAAGCTAGTAACTTGCTGCAGCTCTGAGGCTCCTAGCTGCCCTGGTACCTCCCATGATGGCACAACGATTCACCAACTATAGGTGAGTGCTGGGCCCAGCAGCAGCCCCGGCAGCAGCCCCATTGCTTGCTGTCTTCATTTGTCACGACTGTGATTGGTTGATGGTCAGATAGTCTTGTCTGAACCTAGGACCTCACGTATACCAACCCATTGGACCACCACTGAACGACATTCCCAGCCATCTTTTGCTTTTTTGTTTCTGTTACATTCATTTATTTATCTATTATGTGTGCGTGCATGCACGTGTGCCCCACCCTGCATGCATGTGTGTACTACTGCATGCATGTGGAGGTCAGAGGACAGCCTGCAGGAGTTGGTTCTCTCCTTCTTCGGGGACTGAGCCCAGATAGTCAGGCTTGGAAGCAAGCTCCTCAACCCCCTGAGCCATCTCACTGCCTTCTGCTGGTTCTTTTGTTTTTGTTTTTATTTGTTTGTTTCAGGACTGGACCTCACAAAGTTGCTTAAGTGACTTTGACTCACTCTCTAGCACAGCCTCCCAGGTAACTGGAATATGGGCCTGGCTGGTGGTCAGATATTTTGCATCCTAAGTTTGTTATGGGCTTGAGGTCACAGCCCATGCTTGCAACAAACCAGGTTCAGTAGCCCATTCTCCATTACTCAATTGAAACAGCCAAATTACTAATGGAAAACGGAAAAGGGAGATCTGTTCAATGTGGTCACATTGGGAAGGGGCAGATGACAAAGAGTAACAGTGATTCTTTCCAAAGTCCATCTTTAGTGTCCTGGAATGAGGTTAAGTTTAAGTAGAGACCTGAGTTATGTGTGTGTAAGCAACCCTGTCAAGGTCCCACCCCGATCGGCTCATCATCATATGCTCTGTAAAGTGGTCCAACTGTAAATCTCTTTCTGGGAGAGTTTCCCTTCTGGGTGGCCTAGCCTTTACGTTTTCCCTTCCTGGCATTAGATTCCTGGGGGAATTCCAGTTTCTAGGACTCCATGGCTTCAGTAGTCAGATGGTCAGAATGCGTGGTGCAGTCATTTTAGAACATCTTCATTCCTTCCTGGTCAGCCACATTCACGACACCGGCCTGGGACATCTGTAAATTGCAGAAGCCATGGGGCCATTCTGGATCTTTTGAACTGGTCTTACAAACTGTTTCTGTGTGTGCATGAGTCACAATGCCTTTCTTTCCAGGGATGACCTGACTCAGCTGCCCTTCACCACCATGTGCATCAAGGAGAGCCTCCGACAGTTCCCACCTGTGACGCTCATTTCTCGCCGATGCACCGAGGACATCAAGCTGCCAGATGGCCGCATCATTCCCAAAGGTGCCTGCTCTGTGCCCTCCACTGCTGCGGCGTGGTTTACAGGGGTCGGGCCAGGCCTGCTGTGGGTGCGGGATCCCTGTGAGGGGGAAGATCCCTGTGTGTCTGTTGCTGGTGATGAGGGCATCTTACTTTCATTTCCTGTCACTGTGACAATATAACCTGACAAAAGCAATTTTAGGGGTAAAGTGTTTATTTGGCTGTAGTCCATCATGGTAGATGGGTCAGGGTGGTAGGGATTTGAAACAGCTAGTCGTGTTGCAGCCACAGACAAGAGCACAGAGCAGTGAATGGCTCTGTGCACGCCAGTGTTCACTTCTCTCCTTTTTATTCTGTCCAGGTCCTAGCCCATGAAATGCTGCCACCCACATGCAGTGTGTCTTCCCACCTTAAGTAATCCAAGTTAAAAAATCTTTTATGGGGGCTGGAGAGACGGCTCAGTACTTTAAAAGCGCTGGCTCCCAGCACCCATACGGTGGCTCACACTATCTGTAATTCCACTTCCAGGGAATCTGATACCCTGTTCTTAACTCTACATGCACCAGGCTTGCATGTGGTATGGACATACATGTAAAATACTCATATACACAATAAATAAACCTAAAAAAATAATAAAAGCACTTGCTATTCTTGTAGATAACTGAGTTTAGTTCCAAGCACCTGGTTGGGCAGTTCACAACTACCTGCAACTTCAGAACCAGAAGATCTGACACTCACTTATAGCCTCTGTGGGCATCCACACACATGAATCGTATACACACACACACACACACACACACACACACACACACACACAGAGTACATATAAAATAAAAACAAATATTGAAAAAGAAAATTTCTTACTGTCATCCCAACACAAATCTAATTAGGCAATCCCTCATTGAGACTCCTTTTCCAAGTGATTGTAGACTGTATCAAGTTGATATAGCTAATCATCATGGAGGGAAACCTAGGTGTGTGTGAAGGAGGTAGATGTGTCTGTATCCGTAGTGGAAAGGAAGGGGTGGGTGAGGCAGGGCTGGATCTGGGGGTACTGATGGCAGAGGGTCAGTTTCTTTCAAACAAATTATTATTGTCAGTATTATTATTATTACGACTACTATCCCCTGTGTGTGTGTGTGTGTTTCCAAAGACTCCCTTGGGTCCCACTGATTCCAAATGTCCCTACAGGTATTATCTGCTTGCTCAGTATCTATGGGACGCACTACAACCCCTTAGTGTGGCCTGACTCTAAGGTAAGCTCCTGCCTGTGCCTTCCTATGGCTCTGGCTCCTTCTCAGGGCTGCTTGCAGGGACTGGCCCTCCTGCTCCACTGTTCCACCGAGTCCTTGTTAACTCACGAAGTCAACAAATAGTCACTGAGTGCTCTGCTCGGCACTGACCACCTACAATGACACTGCCTTTGCCCTCATGGACCTGGAAGTCAAACTCAGGGCGACAGGCCAATAGAGAAGATCATTTTGGGAATTGCTAAATGCTTTAAGGAAGTAAAAACAGATGGGGTGGGGGTATTCAGCTCAGGGGATCAGGAAAGGCCTCGAAGACAAGATGATGTTTGAGCTGAGACCTAATGAGTATGAAGAACAGGGAGAGGCCTGTTCCAGGCTCAGGAAACATCAAGTGCAAAGAACCTGAGGTAGAAAAAAGCCCGGGTGCCGGACAACAGGAGACAGGCATGGCTAAACTCTAGTGTGTGAGATAGATCGGACCAGATGGCCCCGAGGTGTTCCAGCTGCAGGGACCCTCAGAGGCTGAGGTGCAGGCTAGGCTGTATGGTTGGGCCGGAACCCAGACTCACCCAGGCAATTCCTATCTAGGTGTACAATCCTTATCGCTTTGACCCAGACACCCCACAGCAGCGCTCCCCGCTGGCCTACGTACCTTTCTCAGCAGGTCCCAGGTAAGGCCTCTACTAACCCCAGACATCATCACAAGTGGGAGGGACTTGGCCAGTGTCAGGCCAGGGATGCGCCCCCATGGAAGCAGGGACCAAGTCTCACCCACAAGTAATTTCTGGCAACCCAAGTCCCCTTTGTACCCTTGACGGAACCAAGGGTTCAGCATCAGATCTCAATTCCGTCCTTGATAAGAGGGTACCCCTCCTGTATGTTAGACCCCGGGTTCTGGGCTCACACACTTCTAACAGCTCTGTGATGTGGTCTTCGTTCGTTTCTATAGAAGCGGGAACTGAGGCTCAGACAAGGGCGGTCATCCATCAGGATGCACTGATAGTCGCAGGCTGTGCTAGGATTTGAACATTTGACTCCAGGGTCATGTCCAGAGACATGTCCTAAGGATCCTTGCCTCTCATTTGAATCCTCCCTGCAGGAACTGCATTGGGCAGAGCTTTGCCATGGCAGAGATGCGAGTGGTCGTGGCGCTTACACTGCTGCGCTTCCGCCTGACCGTGGACCGAACGCGCAAGGTGCGGCGGAAGCCGGAGCTCATTCTGCGCACGGAGAACGGCATCTGGCTCAACGTGGAGCCTCTGCCCCCGCGGGCCTGAAGGCGCGGGGCCCTGCGGATCCCCCGGGTTCAGGCTCCGCCCACTCAGGCCTAGACCACGCCTCCAAGGGCCTGGGTGCCCCTCCAAGATCCTGAAGGCGTAGACCACGCTCCTTGAAAGCACAAGAAGGATAAAGCTTTGTGGAGGAGCATCCTGTTGGTGCCGACCACGCCCCTCAGGACAAGGCCCAGCCCCTTGGGATCTGATTCCACCCCTTGAGGTCAAAGTTCCGCCTTAAATTACCCTCACAGCCCTTCAGCCTGTGGGAGTCAGATTAGGCCCCGCCCCCTAGGGCTTGGGCCCCGCCCCCAAGGCAAGGCAGCTCACCCTAGCCCTGTGGATTCAGGTTCCCCAGCCGGACCCACAGAACCTTCCCTGGACCTAAAACTCAACGCTGGGACTGGATCCTCGCGTTCCCTCTGGCTACGGCCCAGGTTAGCTTCTAAACTGAAGGTTTAGAAGCTGGAGTCTGAGGTTGCAGCCCTGAATCTTCAACGTCACCTTTCCGGGACACGCAACTACACTGAAGGACTGCATAAGCTGAATCTCAGGACTTTGGCTGTTTGCTTTGTTGTTGTTGTTTTGTGAACCCGGACCCTTGCAAGCCATTTCCTCCATGGTCACCGTCCCTTTGCTGAGTTTTCTCATTTTTTTTTTTTTAAAGAGTAAAAGCAAGGAGATGCAGATACCTTCCGCCTCATCCCATCCCAGATCTGGAGCCCAAGTTGGGGAGGAGGGCCCCTTGGCAGCTGGGAAGCGACTAGGGGGAAGCTGTTTGTTCTTGAACTAAACTCAGATTTTTGGAGACAGTTTGTGCACTGTTTATTTGGTCAACAGACTGCATATTAATTCAGTGTCTACTGTCATGGGGCCAGGAGCACAAACCAGCCTAGTTCCTACCCTCCTCAGGGAGAAGCAGGTGCTGAACTAACAATTACACACGGCAATGATTATTTGAAACGGATGACAGGTGCTTCAAACATGAGACCCCTGGTTCTGGGTGATAAGACAGAGGTGTGGGGAGTGGAGCGTCAGGGGACGTTGATGCTGGGGAGTGGAAGCTGAGTGGATGATCGGGAGGGAAGGGTGTCGCAGGCAGAGGAACAGTGTCAGCGAAGGCCCGGATTGGAGAAGAGCATGAAGAGCTTTAGAAACTCACAGCAGGCGGAGGTGTTTGCGTCTGGGTGGTGGGAGCGGAGGAAGGCTAGTAGACCGAGCAGACAGCAGCAGGGAGCCATGGCAGGGGTGAACAGGGACAGGGAAGGGTTAGATCAGGCTTAGAATGAAGGGGCGTTGTGGGGGCGTACTGGGGGTCAGGGTCCTGGGAAAGATGGAAATTAGACTCAGGGATCATGGCTCTGGACCGGGGTAGCTAGCTAGCTGTGGAGACTAAAAGGAGGGAGGAACCAGGTCTGGCTCCGGGAGCCAGGCTGACATGCAGAGTATTAGAGTTGGGGCAATGATGATATTGACCATATCAGTTCATCCAATATTAATAGGCATCTGCTGGGAGCCATGCTTACTTGGGGCCTTTGCATAGGTGACATCTAAGGGCAAGATGATAAATGACAATAGATATGTAAAGAAACCAGCAAATTCACTAAGCACGCTGGAGGATACTATACAGATGTCAACTTCTCGTGTGAGAAAAAATGGGGAGCTATGGAGGGGCCCAAACAGTGGTGGGACATGACAGCTGCTGTGTTGAATGGAGACTTCATGAGGCAAAGGGGTCAGGTGGTCCTGATGATGGCTGAATCAAGACGGTGCTATAGAGGTGATTAAGGTGATCGATTCCAGGGAGGAGTGGCTGTCCCTCGAAGGAAGTTCTGGCAGGTTTGCCTTATGTGGGGTTCAGGAGAAGGGGAGGGCTCTAGGTTTGTCTCATTCTCTTGACAAGGTGGACCTGCCACAGGCAGACACGGGGGTGCAGAGTGGAGGAGATGGTAGTGGTGAGATCAGGATGTCAGATTCTGAGACGTGAAACAGGATCCCAGAAGGATGGTATGCAGTGTGGGAATCAAATCCAGGGCCCTGTGCCTGCTAGGCAAACACTCGACCACTGAGCTGCACCCCTGGGGAATAATTCTTTTTTTTTTTTTTTT